TGGGACAAACCCAACAGGCCAAACCAGAGAGGCAATTACATGGTAGAAGCTGCAGGGCCAGAGGTGGGTTAGTGAGGGGAGGGCTTTCTCTTTGAATGAACCCCTCATCTTCCTTGTGTCCACCAGGCTTTGCTACTGAAGATGGCAGAAAAGATGGAGCAGCCTGAGCGGGCCCTTGAGTTGCCTGAGTCAGGCTGTTCCCAGTGGTCAGCAATTCCCAACAGAGGGGGGCAGCAGAGGGCTAATCAGAGAGGTACCTGAGGCCTTGTTCCGAAGCTGGAGGGCTGAACTGCCTGGAGTTTGGCCCAGTCGGGGGTGAGGACTGCTTTGACTCCACTTCACCTCTCCACTCAGCATGCCTAACCCTCTTCTCAGCGTACAGTCGGCCACTTCCTGTTGGACCCTAACTGTTTTCTGGTAGGGAAGGTGTTCTAGCAGCTCAGAACAGGAACGGGTCCCTCTAGCGATCACGTGTTTTGGGGGCTTGAGGCTAGAACTTGATTTCAGGTCTCTTGACTCTGTCTCTGACTTTGTACAGTCTCCTCTCGGCTCCTTGAGCTTGAGTCGCCTTGTGTAAGGCAGAGGTTAGAGTCAGGGCCCCGTCCCTTCGCTGTTCTCCTCCTGCATCTGGTGATACCTGCTCAGGCAGAGAAGCGGAGGTGGCAGACGGCGACTGCTAAGGGTGGCAGGGAGGGAGGTGCGGTAATGAATGTGGACGGGAGGCGGAATGAGCGATCCATCTTTGCATGGGAGGGGAGGGGGCTGCGGGCCTTCCCCCCACACACTCACACACTCAATCAGGCGCTGTCAGACCTCCGGCCGCCTGGCATTTTGGTGAAGAATCTCTCAGCTAAAAATTGTTGTCAGTCCCATTTCCTCGTTATCAGTGCAAGGGCTGAGGCAGCGCCCGGGGATTAGCAGGAGCGGCGTGCGCCCGCGCCCGCCATCCACCGCCGATAACACTGGGCCTCCCGCCTCACCTCCCCATTCATCATCTTTAGCACTGACAGCCCGTCCCAGTCCCTGTCCCCATCCCCTCGTGCTTCGTCGTCTCCCCACTATGCTGTTCAGTCTGGTTTCTGACCTCCCAAGGGAGCTGGGCCAGGATTCAACCTAGGCTTCCATGACCCAGACCCACCTGTGGCAAAAGGACTTGGCCAGCTGTGGGGGTGGATGGGAGTGGAGAATGTTCAAGGAGAAGATGCTTTCTGACAGCCTGCCTCTGGTGGCCTCTGTCTGCCTACCTGTTATGCTGGCAGCCATGTTGGAGCAGGGATTCCTGCATCAGATGGGCAGTGGGCCTAAGGATTTCTGGAAGCCTCTCCAGAAATGAAGGCCTCTCCAGAGATGAAGTTCTACATACTGGGGATTGTGGAAAGGAAGAGCCAAAAGATGCCTCCTCCCAGGCCTAGGAAGAGTAGGGGGTTGAGGGCTTCATTCCCACCCCAGCAAGACTAAAGCCCCCTCCTCTTGGCCATCCCCAGCAGTTTTATGGCCCGTTTTATGACCACTGTAATGGCCCAGGTCAAAAGCTTCAGGGAGCTGTATTCTGGGAATTATGCAAACGAGGAACAGGCCCAGGGCCAGAGTATGGATTTTATCATTAAACCTGGGCAGGCCATGTCGTTAGTGCAGTAAAACCCACGTCATGACCACAGGTCTCAATATAAAATTATAGGGAACACAGCGGGGGAGGGGAAGCAGGGGGACCACAGCCCTGCTGACACCTGCCACTCTAGTCCCTGAGAAAATGAGTCAGGGTGGAGGGCATAGGCTGTGGGGTCCCTCTCCTGATCCCTGACAATGGTATTCCTGATGCTGGGAGCCAGGAAGAGCGCCTAGTGTCCTGAAAGGGAAACTGAGGCCAAACTCAGAGAAGTAGAAGATCCCTTGGCAGCAAAACAGATGAACTGAAAATAAGAATATGGAAATATTCATTCCTGGAGCCTCGGCTCAGAGGGGAGAATCTGAGCTCAAGGAAGTCCCAAGAACCAGAGTTGGTGACCCAGGCTAAAGGGAGCTGAAAATCTGCTATTTCCATCTCAGCTCAGACCCCAGGCCCTGAGTCCTCCTTTCTTCAGTCTCCTCTCTTACGACTTCCCCCTCATACCCTAGACCCTGCCTCAATAACCTGTTTTGACAGCCTTGTCAACTTTCCCATACTCATCCTCATCCCTTCGTTGGAGCATCACTTCCCCCATGGATCCTACAAACCCTTTGGCCCCTTCCTGACCTCCCATAGTTCCCGCAGTGCCTGTTCATGTCTCTCTCATATCCCTGACCAGGGCTACACTAACTGGAATCACCGACTTCCTTTTTGGCTCTCCCACTAGTTTATGACCTCCTAGAAATCAAGAATGTGTTTTATCTCTGAACTCCGGTTTCTCCTCGAATAATACCTGACATAGAATCATTGTTTAATAAATATTTGTTGAATGAATAACCAAAAGAAGCCAAGTACAGGGATCCCTGACTATTTGTGAGCCTCAGTTCCTCATCTGTAAAATAAAAAGAGTGGCCTGAAGAATGTCTCATTCATTTCTGAGATTCTCTGAGTGAGTGAATTTAGGATCAGATCAGGGCTTATCTGCTTCTTTTACTCAAAGGTAACTTCCAGCTGTCCCCTGAGCATCTGAGGCCCAGCCACCAAGGCAGAACCAAGCACATGATCAGTACAGCCCATTCCCCTCCTCAGAGACCAAGTTACACAGGTTGGAGCCATACCTACCCCACTCTGGCACTCACAAAGCTCCACACCTAATATCCCAGTTCTGTAAGGGTTCTAAAACAATTTGCTCTTCATCCTCTCATCTCTTTCTCTTCCTCCTTTCCTTTCTCTTTTCCTCTTTTGCTTCATCATTGAGCGTCCAGTCTATACCAGGAGGCCTGTTATCAATTGTGTCTATCAATCAATGGACACAAAGATGGGTAAGAAATGGTTCCTGCCTATGGGGAACTCACAGCACATTTACACATTCATTCATTCTTTCCTGCCCATTCTCTGCCTGGCACACTTCTAAGACACAACTTAAATTTCGCTTCTTTGGTTAAGCTTTCTCTTTTTTGCCATTCCCCAAAACACACACTCAGAATGATTTGCTCCCTCCTTTGGGCTCTAGATGAGTTTAATCTGGATATCCAGGAGAGTCATGATCATCCTCAGTCTTTGGTCAAAGGGCGGTGCAGTCTTGTGCTCAACCTGAACTGGGAGTTCCCTCAGGCCTAGGCTGTTAGATTCAGCAAATAAAAATCCAAGACACCCAGTTAAATTTTAATTTCAGATAAACTATGAGTAGTTTTAGTATAAGTATGTCCCATGCAATACATGGAATATACTAAAAATGTATTCATTGTTTATCAGAGATTCAAATTTAACTGGGCATCCTCTGTTTAATCTGGCAACACTGCGCAGGCAAACAGCTTGGTCATCACTGCATAGCCTTTATGTCTCTAAAAGTTAACTTTGACCCTCTGCAGGCACCAGTGCGAAGAAGCAGGGAGGAAGATCTGAGCCCAATCTAAAGAACTCCTTTCTATAGTCAGAATGTCTGTCAGAATGTCGATGGATAGACATGGATGTTTTTAGATGAATAGGGCTCCTTAACCTCTCATAGAATGTTCTGGGTACCATTAATGACAGAGTTGGAAATAAAGTTCAGGTTCCTAGCTGGCCCCCAACCAGCACAGTAGAGCACTACACTCACATATGCTCACGTATTAGGGCTACACAATTTTGGAGGGGAAGCATTCAGAATCAGGGAGACTCACAAGATGCCAATGAGGTTATCCAAATAAGAAGCAATGAGATCTGAACAGGGAGAATATAGAATACACGAATATTTAAGAACACAGTGAATGTGACTTGGTGGTTCAATGAATGAGCAGGGGGTGGTGAATATGGGAGGAGTGATGAGGCAAAGGAAGGAGCCTAGGGTGAAGCTAAGGTTTCTGGCTTGGGGAACTAGATGAATGAACCTATCATTAACTGAGTTGGGCACTGCTAAAGAAAGAGCAGTTTTGTAAGGGGTGAAGAAGTTGAATTCAATTTTGAATTGTTGAGTTTCAGAATTCTGTGGGACATATAGGCATTGATGTCCATTAACCAAAAAACCCAACCAAACTCACTGCCATTGAGTCAATTCTGACTCATAGCAACCCCCTTTGGGTCTCCAAGGTAATAAATCTTTACGGAAGTAGATTGCCCCATCTTCCTTCCACAGAGCAGCTGGTGGGTTTGAACTGCCAACCTCTGGTTAGCCGTCAAATGCCTTAGGCACCATGCCACCAGAGCTCCTTATTGATGCCCATTAGACATTTGGATATAAGGGTCTGGAGAATAGAGGTGGGAGCTGGGGTTAAGGTAGAGATTCTATAGTCACTGAAGTCAATAGGGCACAGGTGGGAGTTAGGGGTCTAAGAATTAACCAGATCATCCAGCATGCAGGGTGAGAAAGAAAGAGGCTGAGGATAAAACCCTGGGGGAAAGTGATGAAAGAATTCACTGTGAGGACCTCAATCTGATTCCATTCTGTGCCTCCACTTCTCTGCACTGGGCCTGGTTCAGAGCAGACATCAGGGAATGTTTGTTGCATAATTGCAAGAATGAGTGCCCTTTCTCTCTCTTTTCTTTCTTCTCCAGCAGTGAGGAAAGGCGAGACAGAGGAGGCACTGAATATTCTGGGTGATGGTATGATTAAACCAAGGGATTCTTTATTAACACATGTAAAATTAAGTGATCAAGGTTTGATTGCACAGAGCATTGATTTTGTCCTGATAGATTTCCAAGAGGGGCCACTAGCTAAGGAGGCACCTTTCCTGGCCACAGCTTCTGGAGCTGCAAAGAAGAATGATGCTCAGGGACTCAGATGCTCTTGCTCATCCCTCCTGTAGGCGTAGAAACCATTGAGGGTGGCAGCAGGATTAGGTGAGAAGATTGAGACATTGGGTTTCCCTCCACAGACTAGCCCAGTTTATTTGTCTGTCTGTTCTCCCCTCACCAGGTAAGAAGAAGGCAGCAGCATTGTTTGACAGCCAGGCCCCCATTTGCCCCATCTGCCAGGTCCTGCTGAGGCCCAGCGAGTTGCAGGAACATATGGAACAGGAACTGGAACAACTGGCTCAACTTCCTGCCAGGTAAGCCACCTAACAGGTCCCAGAGGCAGCTATCTGGCCCACACCCAACCTTTAGGTAGAAGACTTCACATTGATGCCATTCTCCACTCTGTTTTCTTCCTCAGTTCCTCCTGAGGACCCACCTCGGATCCTCCAGCTGAATAATGCACTTTTCTATTCTTGCTCTATTTTTGGTGATGGGAGGAGGGTGAGCCCTTAGGTCTCAGCCTCCAAAGAGCAAAAGAGAGGCTGGAAAAGGAATGAGCCATGGCCAGAGGCTATGTACCACCATGCTGAACCAAGGGTGGGGTGAAAGAAGCAGGTCCTGAGCTTGGCAGCCCCATCAGAAGTTCAATATGGGGTTGTTCTCCAGGGGAGCGAGCACTACTTCTTTTTTGGAAGGTGATGCTTTGAGAATGCATTCAGAACTGTTCCCCACTGTCCCACCTCACCCCACCCCCAGCCCTCTCTCCCTTGCTACCACCTGAAGGGCTGGGCTCAGCTCCTCAAGGGCCTGGTGGAGGAATCAGGTTATTGAAGGGAACAGAGAAGGGGTGCAAGAAATTACCATTTTATTATGCTCATGGACTCTGTAGAGTCAGGATTTCAGATGGGGCCACATCTGTTCCATGATATCTGAGGCCTCAGCTGGCAAGACGTGAAGGGCAGCTAGGGGCTATAGTCTCAGGGGTTCCACCAGGCTCTATCAGACCAACAAACCTGGTCCCCACCCCCCACTTTTTTTTTTTTTTAATAATTTTGATTTTTGTTCCACATTGTTCTCCCACTCTATCCAGGATCTCCTACATAGATCCCCCTCCAAATGGTTGACAGTGGTAGCCAGGCACCACTGGTCTCATGGTCGTATAGGCTGAGGATTGCATGGTGTACCAGTCACTTGGACTAATTGTTTCCATGCATCTTTGGTTTTCTTCATTCTTCTTTGCTCTGGATAAGGAGAGACCCATTGTTGCATCTAGATGTCTGCTTGCAAGCTTTTAAGATCCTAGTGGCTATTCACCAAAGTAGGATGTGGAGCAATGTTTTTGTGTATGTTATGCCAATTGAGCTTGATGTCCCCCTGAGACTATGGTCCTGAGCCCACAGGTCCAACTATTTGCTCCCTTTGGGTACCTGGCTGTGGCCAAGAAGTGACTATAACCTTGTCCCTTATCAGCCCTGAGCTGAATTTTGAAGGCAGATATATTAGTTATCTATTGCTGTGTTACAAATTACCCCAAAGCTTAGTGGCTTAAAACATTTATTATCTCACAGTTTCTGTGTGTCATCAATTCAAGAGCAGCTTAGTTGGGTGGTTCTGCCTCAGGATCTCTCATGAGGTTGCAGTCAAGATGTCAGCCAAGGTTGCAGTTATCTGAAGCCTTGACTAGGACCTGAGAATCCATTTCCGTGATGGTTCACTCACAGGGCTGTTGGCAGGGGACCTCAATTCCTCACCACATGGGTCTCTCCATGGGGCTACCTGAGTGTCCCCATGACATGGCTGCTTATTTTCCCCAGAGCAAGTGAGAGAATATAAGGAGGAAGATACAATGTCCTTTTTTCCTCCAGCTTTTTAAATAACTTTTGGTCTTGAAACAATCTTAGATTTATAGAAAAATTATAAAAACGTTACACAGTTCCCATACATCCTTCTCCCATCTTCCCCTAATGTCAACATCTTGTGTAACCTCAGTACAGTTACCGAAACTTGGACTTGAACAGTGGCATAACACTACTAAATAATCTATGGAGTATAAAAATGCCACCAGTTTTCCTACCAATGCCCCTTGTTTTATTTTTTCCTTTTTTTTTTTTTTAAGCTATTTTATTCCCTTAGATGATATTACAGATGGAATTGTTTTGTAAATTTCCTTTTCTGATTGTTCATTGCTGATGTATAGAAACAGAACTGATTTTTGCACATTGATCTTATTTATACCTTGCAACTTCACTGAATTCATTTATCAGCTCTAGTAGCTTTCTTGTGAATTCCTTAGGACTTTCTATATACAGGAATCTATCATCTGCAAATAAAGTTTTACTTTTTCCTTTCCAATTCATAGCCTTTAATTTTTTTTTCTTGCCTGATTGCTCTGGCTAGAATGTTCAGTGCAATTTTGTACAGCAGTGATGAAAGCACATCCTTGTCTAGTTCCTGATCTTAGAAGGAAAGCCTTCAGTCTTTCACCGTTGAGTTTGTTCACTGTGAGGTTTTTTTTTTTTTTAATAAATGTCCTTTGTCATGTTGAGGAATTTCCCTTCTATTCCTAGTATGATTTTTGTTTTTGTTTTTGCTTTTTTTTCATGAAAGCGTATTGGATTTTGTTGTATGCCTTTTCTGCATCAACATGATCATGTGTTTTTTGTGGGGAACATTGTTCTATTAATGTGGTATATGACAGTGACTGAACCACCGTTGCATTCCTGGGATAAATCCCACTTGGTCATAGGTCTAATCCTTTTAATATGGTTTTAATATGGCGTTGGATTCTGTTTCCTACTATTTTGTTGAGGATTTTGTGTCTATATTCATAAGGGATATTGATCTGTAGTTTTCTTTTCTCGCGGTGTCTTTATCTGGCTTTGGTATCAAGCAAGTCACCAAATCTAGCCTACACTCAAGAGAGAATTATGCCCTATCTCTTGAAGGGAGGAGCCTCAAAGAATTTGTTGGCATACTTTAAAACTACCACAGTAGGCTACACTAATGCTTATAATAACAATTCTTGCTGAGCCCTCACTTTGTGCCAAGTACTTTACATTGCATTGATTTATTTAATCTTCACAACTCTCTGAGATAGGTAATAATTACCACTGCCATTTTACAGATGAGGAAACTGAGGTACAGAGGGGTTAAATGACTTCCTTAAGGGTGCACAACTAGTAAGTGGTAAAGAAAATTTTCAAACTCCACTGCTCACGCTCACTTGCAGCCTTTTCCTGCTCACCTGGTCTGGGATTACCCAGGCAGAAGCAGAGTGAAGCAAGCACCTTTATTTAATTGACTTCCATACCTTGACTCTCCCAGCCCAGGAGGGTTTTTGTTTAATTTATCCCAATGGAGGACTTCCCTTCAAAAGGATTGGAGAAGAGGAGCAGAGGTGGAGGTTTGAGCAGAGATGCGGCCCCTAAGGATCTAGAGAATGGAGGTTGGGGAGCTCACCTTCTGCCCCCTCAGCCTAGTCCCTATTGCCCCACACCTGCACTACCCAGGACACCCACTCGCTGTAGCCTTGCTTCATCTGCACCTGCACCCATCTTTCATCCCCCACATCCTCTCAGAGCATCCCCCACTCTCACATCTTTGTCCCTGCAACGCCCACTTCCCTACCCAGAACCCCTACATCTGCTCCACGCCCCTCTCTTGCGTCCCCCACTTCGTGCCTCTCACGTCCGGGCCCAGCCCAGCATTCCGTACACCCATGCCCCACTCCCCCTCACATGTGCACGCCCTGCGCCCCGGCACGCCCCCACCACCACCACCACCAAACCGGTGTCTGACAGCCGGACAGCGGGATCTGCACAGCAAGTGAAATTCCCGTCGGATCGATAAAGCCGAAGCGCTGGCGGCGACGGGTCGATGGTTTTATCTGTCTCGGGCCCCGCCGCGCCCGGCGCGCTGACAGTCGGACCGGCCGGCAAAGGCGTTCAAGGGCAGCCGCGCCCGCCGCCCCCTCCCCTCGCCTCGCCTCGCCGCCCTCCCCTCCCTGCGGCCGCTCGTCCACCGGACTGCGGGCTGGACCAGCCTGCCGCCGCCCTCGTGATTTATCTGGATTTTTAATTGGAAAAAATTTGCGAATTAATTGATTTCAGGAACTTGCCAATTAACATTGTAATTGGGTGCGTGATAAATTCCCAAGGAGCATGTCAGCTCCCTCCGGGCTGATGGGCCGGCCTGCCGACCGCGTGGGTGGGTGGGCAGCGCGGGGAGGGCCCCTGCCTGGCTTGCCCTTGCCCCTTCCCTGCCCCCTTTCTGGGAGGCAGAAGGAGAGCAAGGGAGGTTGAGGAAGATAAGGCACCTGGAGCTCCTGATGCCCCCCTCCCTCCCTTTTCCCACTCCCCACTGTGAGCCTGGGAGCTGAGAGGGACTCTAGAGCAGCCATTTTACAGATGGGAAAACTGAGCCCTGCGGGAGGGCAGCCTCCAAAGAGAGTTCAAGCAGAGTCCAAATGAGGGCATCCTCCATCCATGGTAGGTGGCAAAGCTTCCTTTCTAGCTCCCCCGTTCTCCTCTCTACTCCCTTCCTCTTTAGCACTCCCCTCTCCTCTCTAACTCTGCCCCTGCCTTCTTTCCCACCCTGCTCCTCTCTCAGCTCAGCCAGCTTTGTAGATGCTGCTGCCAGGGTGCCCCTACATCACCCAGGACCATCCCTCCCTCCCACATAGGTGCTACCAGAGGAGCGCCCCAGGGTGGACCTGGTGTTCTGTCTTTCTCTGCCAAAGAGCAGAAAGAACAAGCTGCTATTTCTGACACACCCTATCTCTCACAGGGACCTTCCAGCTCCCAAGCTAGGGCTGGCTGGCTTTTCACAGACACAAGCATGGACAAATATACCCACAATACACGGATGAGTATGCACACACCCATTCTAACACACATAGATGTGGTTGTACACACAGCTGGAAACAATCACTTTCCTGTAGATGCACATTCCCCTAGGCACGTGGACACACAGAAGCAAGAACAGTCAGAATTTCCAATGGCAAAGCACTTAGACTTTTCAAAGCACTTTTACATTCCAGATTAGAGGCTCCACCCACACTTAGACACACACCAACATATACTTTCCCCACACCCTCTCTCATCACTCCCTCTATTTCCAACAGACCCCAGTGTTTGGCTAATTAGAGCCACGCAGGCACAACTAGAGCAAGGATAGATCGTGGAGGCCCTTCAGTGGAGAGTTGTCTTAGATGTAGTGGGGGGAATCAGAATGTCCGGGAGCCAGGTTCAGGAGCCAGGATGAGGCTGGATCAGAGAGAGCTGAGTTGTAGCAGAATCATTCTGGAAACCGGTGTTGGGTATGGATTGAGAATAGAGAGTGGAAGTAGGGAGGCAAGTGAGGAGGTTGGACAATGTCCAGGGGAAAGATGATGAGGCTGACCTGGGACAGTGGCAGTAGCAGTGGGAATAAAGAAGAGGGAATATTGAGAGACTTGGTGGAGTTGAAGAAGCAAGAGGACTTAGCTAATTACTTGAAGAAGAAGCTTTCTGACTTAGGAAAGTGGGAGGGAAAGGGGAGACAACAGATGGGGCTCTGCACTGGTGGTGGGGTGAGGAGTGAGCATGTCAGGGACATAGCTGGGAGCTGAGGATCAGAGGGTAGATAGGGGTGTCCCCAAACTTCTCTGTGGCCCTCAATAGGAGTTACCACCTAGAAAGGAAGGATTCCACAAAGCTGAGAGTGGGGCTTGGCTTGGCAGGACCTTAACTCAGAGACCTTTTGAACCACTGCAAAACCTGGCCTCTGGGCTGGGAAACCAACTCTCTGGTCAGTGCTTTCAAAGGGCTGGAAGAAGCCAAAGGGAGGCTGGGTGACTCTAGAGGAGAGGTGGGGTGTGTAGATGGCAGTGCCCCCACCCCCACTTAAGCCTTATTTAAGGCTGGCCTCGGTGTTTGGTTGGGTAATGAACTAGATAAACAATTCCCCAAATAGATTAAAACGAAGTGTAAGTTACAAAGGCGGCTGGTGATGATGGTTTATTCCCAAGCAGCGCACCATTTCTTTATTTCCAAGGATAATTCAGTGTAAATCACCTTAATTAAAAGTGTCAGCCCAGCCCATGAATATTGTACTTAGGAACGCGTTTCCTGGGTCCCAGTTATAATTTAAAACCCATGGATCACTAGGCAGCGAGTGACTGAGCAAGGGAGGAAATCATTGGGGGTGGGCTGTGGAAACAGGGAGGGACGAAGGCAGAGCTGATGGGCTGGGAGGGAGCCAGGCTGCCTGCAGCTCCCAGACTCAGACCTTTCCTCTCTAAGGCAGGTCCTTCTCCAGATGCCTCAGCCTCTGAAGTGGTGGGGGAGGGGGAACAAGCAAACTTAGAGGTGATCAGTTTGTTGGAAAAAAGGTAGGGTAGGGGTCCTTGCTCAGAGAGACGGAAGGAGTCTGGTGAAGTACCAGTCCAGTGTGAGAGGAAGGGAAGAGGGTTGCTAGGGAATGATCCAGTAGATTGGCAACGCTAGTGCTGGACATTCCAACCCTCAGTGTCCTCATTTCTATTCACCAGCAGAGTCAACTGAAGCCCAGAGGCGGCAGGTGGCCTCCTGAAAGTCATACAACAAGTGGGTAGAGAAAAGGCAACTCAGAGCTCCAGCTTCTCTCCTAATCGGAGTATCTTCAGGGAGGCAATATGGGCAGTGAAAAGGTAGCACTTTGGACTCAGTCAGACATGAACTCAAATCTCAGCCCTTCCACAGACTGAATGAACATAGAGATGTCACCCAAACTGTCTTAGTCAACTTTGTATAGGTTTTGTGGAGATTAAATGAGGTAGCACATATAAAGTGCCTAGTCCCATGCTTGTCACATGGGTGCACAATAATTGTTCATTCCTCCCTTTTCTCTTCCAACCTGATCCTGACTTCGATAATATTCATACCCCAGTCCAGGGGAGGGGCAAGAATAGTCTTATACAGTAGATACCTCATTTCTGTAGCTGTAGGTCCAGGCCCAGCGTCCAGCACAAAGGGGACATCAGAACTTGTTTACTGAGTGAAGAAGGAGTGAAGAAATGATCAAAGTAATGAACTCACCAACTCACAGCTCCTCAAGAGCATCTCAGTATCCTCTCTATAACCCCAGTGCCTCAATCAGAGCCAGGCACTGAGCAGGAATACAAGGATCATTTATGAACAAAATGTAATTGAATAGAACCTGATCTGGCTGTCCTTCTTAGTCTGTGATGGCCCCACTGTGTAAGTCGGAGAGGCAGACAGCCCTGTTGTTACACTCCGACTTGGCCTCACCCTGCTGCTGAGCCTTGTGGCCTCTGCACTGTGATGCATGAGTCTGTCTGTGTGAGTGTGTGCCCGTATGTATTTTGGGGTGCATGCCTGTCTGGGTGTGTGCCAGTGCACGTGGGTGTATGTAGCTGTGCATGTGTTTTTGCAGATGGATGAGCTTGAGCATATCCTCATCCAGATCTGTGTAACTGTTGTCAATGTGTCTTTGTGGACATGTCTCTGGGAATAAGAGCTCTGTGCTTGTACATCTGTATGCATGTCTGAGCCTGCAGGCATGACCACATGTATCTTTGTGACATGGCAGAATTATAGAGGGTCTATGGATATATGTGTATCTGTCTTTAAACCGGGGTTTCTCAACCTCAGAACTATTGACATTTGGGGCTGGATAATTATTTGCTGTGAGGGCCTGTCCTGTGCACTGTAGGATGTTTTGTAGTATCCCTGGCCCCTACCCATTAGATGCCAATAACAACCCCTTCTCCCTCAGCTGTGACAATTAAAACTGCCTCCAGACATTGCCAAATGTCCCCTGGGGAGCAGAATCACTCCCTGTGGAGAACCATTACTTTATCTGAATTGACCTGTGCCTTTGCTTACATACTGGGTGTGTCCGTGTCTGGCCCTGTGGTGCGTGCTGCATGCATCTGTGAATGACCCCTGTGTATTCATTTTGTGTGTCCATATGTGACCCATATATTCTGTCTTGAATGTGTATCTGTGACTTTTATGCTTTCTGGATCTATCTGTGGCATGCTCTATGTGTACACCCTGTCTGTGTGTCTGTGTGGGGACCCTATGTGAATGGGCTGTCTCCCTACGTGCATGTAACAGCCAGCACCTCCTCCATGTGCATGTATTTGTGTGTGTGTGTGTGTGTGTGTGTGTGAGCGCAGATGTGGTGAGTGTAGTAGGGGCAGCAGGGAGGGAGGGATAGGAACAGGGATATTAATGTTTCTGAAGTGGATCTGATTTGATACGTCTTGTTCCATTGTCAGCATCTGTTTAGCGGGGATTTGTAATACTTTGTGGCTCTGGATCACTCATGCTTAGCACGGGATGTGGCCTTGCATACCAATTTTGTTATTAAACACAGTCCTCGCCTCCCCCACAGCTCATCCATCACCTCCCTCCCCCACCCCCGCCTGCTCCAAGCCACCCACCATATTTCAGGGCCCAGCTCCTGCCCGCCCGCCGTGCCCGATGCCGGAGGGCTTGGGGCTGACAAATTGAATCAGGGGGAGATCATTCCTGGCCTAACGCAGTTTGTAGCGTGTTGGAGGGAGAATTGACAAGAGCCATGTCAGTTCCATCACCCCAATCCCATAGGAGTTAAGAGCAGGCTGGGGACAGGGAGTGGAGGGAAGGGGCCATGCAGGATAGGCAGAATCCTGACACCAGGAGTCAGGTAAAGCCCCTTTTCTGAGATCTGTTAGTGAGATTCCCATGCCTGGTGTCTATAGCCCCCTCCCAGGAACCACCCCTGGCCCTTGATCCTGATGGAGGCTGAGCGAGGCAGGGCCTGCTGGGTTTAAATAGACTGCATGGAGCTTGCCTGAGCTGGGCTGAGCTAGGCTGGCTATGCCTTCTCTCTTTGGGGTCCTCTTGTTGCTTTACCCTTGCATGCCCCAAGCAGCAGGTAGAATGGTCACCCTGTTCTCTTCTTTCTTGGCAGCAAGAATTCCCTTCTGAAGGATGCCATGGCTCCAGGAACCCCCAAGGTAGGTGGTCAATTGTGTGTTTTCCCTGTGGCCATCCTCATGTAGGTCCACCCAGAACTGGTTCTTCCTGAAAAATAGGAGGATCTTCCTGGATTCCCAACCATCTCCAGGGTTGGAACTTCAGACAGAGGCCTTGGGCTTCTCTGTGTGTTTAAGAGTGTGTGTGTGGCTGTGTGTGAGAGCAAGCATATGCTCATATGGCTTCCTTCTCTTCTAGCCAGAAAGGGGGTCAGAGCCAAGATGGATCTGGGGAGTGTGGGGGACCCAAACACTGAGGCTGGGAAGACTTCAAGGAGGAAGATGAGCTGTAGAAGGTGAAGAAAAATACAGAAAAGCAGGTCAAGACAGACAGCACAGAGGCTTAGAAGCCAAACGTGTATGTGTGTGTGTGTGTGTGTGCATTCTTTTTCTTGCAGCATCAGGGAGTCAGGGAGGATGCTGGGCTCATTTGGGGAGACAGTCTGCCCCTCTGATCACACACTATGGGAGAAAGCCTTGGGAGGCATAAATGGAAAGAGGAAAAGTGAAGGGCAAGCAGTTTGCTCAAGGGAAGGGACAAGAGAGGCCTTAGCGCAATGACAAGAGCTCCCATTCGTGGCCAAAGAGGCAGATGACACTGCTTCTCCAAAGGGGATGATTTTGAGCATGGGGAGCTGGGCAGAGCAACTAAACCTTCCCTCACTGGATACCCCCTTCCTACCCACAGTCTGAGAGGGGCACCTTTCATATATGTTCCCACAACAACTGGTAAAGGCAGGAATTCCTAGCCCATTTCATAGGAGCATGAGGAGTGAGTGTTGAAGCTTTAGGGAAGGATGAGATCAGTTTGGGAGAGTGTATAGAGATTACCACAAAAGCCAAGAAGAGAACCAGGGATTCCTGCACTTAGAGGCAAGATAGGGTACAGAAGACAGAAAAGGAGGCAGAGGAGGAATGCTCAGAGAATTAGGAGGGGCACAGGAGAGCGTGGTATCCAAGTTCTTACGGGGAAAAAAAATTTTCAAAATATATGGAGTGGTCAGCGGTTAAATAGGGGAACGTTGGAGAAGGGGCCATTGTATCTTGAAGTCTTAAAGTCACTGATGAGGTCTCAGGGAGCAGTTTTAGAAAAAGGAGCCAGAGTGACAAGTATCACCTTCATGGTTGGCCCAACCACCCTGCAGACCTTTAAAAAGGATAGGCATGGACTTCGCACCTTCATTCAGGAAATCACTCAAGAGCAGCAAGCTGGGCAGAGGAAGGATGCAAAGAACCCAGCTCAGCCTTGGATTACTATAGGCTCCTCTGCAGGTCCCTCCAAGAAGACAAAGCCCCTCCCAACCTAAAGGCAGAAGGTAGGGGTACCAGGCACTGTGGGGAGCCACATTCTCTGAGTCTGGCCCCACTTGCAGAATTTAATAACTGTGGTTAAGGAATGTCATGGACAAGCTGCCAGGGCTGCTGCCACAACCACTAACACCTGACACCTGAACGTGGCTGGCAGGGTAGGGGAATTGGACCCCAGTGAGACCTGTGTTCTAAGGACAAATGCTGCTGTACACCATCCATATCCTCACATGCACAGATGCAGGACAGAATACAAACACAGGAAGTCTGAAACATGCACAGACCTACAGCCACACCCACAGGCATATTGATAATCACACTCGGAGACAAGGGGCACTTGCCCAGCTACTTGCGGATGCATAGTCATATCCCCAAAACTGAACACTTCAGGGTCTACCCTCTGCCTTGACCTAGGTTGTAGGGAAGTAGGTCATGGGTGGAAGAGGTAGGAGGTAGAAGTTTCCAGCAAGAGACAGAGGACAGGAAGAAAGGGGGAGGGAGGAGAAGGAGGGGGGCTTTAGACAAGATTGATGGCCTCGTTGCCATTAAGAAAAAAATTAGCCGGTGGCGGCTATCATATTAAAGGGTGAAGAAGCCGTGAATTATTTTCTTAAAGATCTTATCGCTTACAATGATAATTTTACCTTCCAAAAGGCCACTTTTAATGAGGCGAAGAGCCAGGCAAAAAGTCATGATTTAATGCCAGGATTTTTTTTTTCAAAACACATTTTACTGCTTTTTGGTCCATGTTTAAAAAGCGCCAGTGACCTTTTTTTATTCCGCTTGCCCCAGGTGTAATGCGGAGGCCTCTCAGGGTTTCTAACCAGTGAGAATGAGAGGAGGAACAGGCACAGCACAGGCTTCATGTGATGGAAGAGCCAGGGGGTGAGGGGTAGCCCTACATTGTTACCCCTGCTCCTCATCTTCCTTGGGATCAAGGGAGAAGGATAGTGCCTGAAAGCATCTCCTTTCTGATCTGGGGGCTGAGTCACCCTGTAGGTTTCCCACTGGGCCTGTGTGGGTACAAAAGGGCCTTCAAGTTGCAGGGAGTCCTGCCCCAGGCCCTTTCCAGACTCCTTCCTGCTCCAGCTCTTCCCCAGATGGCTCCTGGATTAGGGTGAGTCAGGGAACCCTGCCAGCCCAGCAGCTGCCCCTCCTTTCCCAGGGCCCTTGCCTGAGGATGTGCAGCAAGGCCACCGCATGCGGGTCACATCCTAAGGCTCAGTCGGAGATGGAGGATAAATGGCTGCTCCATCTTTCCCAAATTGCTTTCTTTGGGCTGTCACTGGCGATTTGGCTTGGTTTTCGAGGCTGGGGAGGCCTCGCAGGGAATTGTGTGCTTCCGGCTTGGTACTGTGCAGGCTGGAGGTGGTGGGGGGAGCAAGTATGGATTGCTCCCAGGCCTCCTGCCCCGTTTGCAGCTGCACAGGCCTTGGCAAGAGTTAGCTCTTGAGCCGAATGTGCCATGTGGTATTTAGGATTGTGGTGCTCGCACACAATTTAAGGCAGACAGTTTATTAATCTAAACTGCAGGCGTATGTAGAAGAGGCCATGCAGGATTGACACGGGGGGATTAGTTTTGCTGGGGTTTTTGCTAGGGTCATTGCCGCAGCACAGGGATAAATGGACCCAGCGTACATCCCTGGCCACACGCGGGAAACTCATACATACTATTTAGTTTACTGTCTCCACAGCAGGGCTGCCATCAGCCTGTATTAGGGGCAGTCAGGGTGGCAGGCATGTGACTTCACCCCCAACCCTTCATGGGGGTCCCAGTGTCTCTGCTTTCTATGGGAAAACAAAACATCCAGAGTGGCAGCCCACTGAGAGTACCACTCCACCAGGACAGGGACTAGCTTAGGCTAGCAGGGATCTAGGAAAACCAAACAAACCAGTTACAATCAAGTTGATTCCAACACATATTGTGATAGCCCCATGTATACAGAGTAGAACTGCATAAGGCTGCAAGGCTGTGACCTTTTGCACATTGCCAGGCCTTTTTTCCAAGGCATATCTGGATGGGTTCAAGCCACCAATTTTTCAGTTAGTAGTTGAGTACTTAACTGTATGTGCCACCCAGAGATTCTTACACAGAGGTCTGTTGTTGTTGTTAGGTGCCATTGAGTTGGCTCCAACTCACAGCCACCATCTGCACAACAGAACGAAACACTGCCTGGTCCTGTGCCAGCCTCACAATCCTTGCTATACCTGAGCCCATCATAGCAGCCACTGTGTCAATCTATCTCATTGAGGGCCTTCTCCTTTTTCCCTGATTCTCTACTTTACCACGCAAGACATCCTTCTCCAGGGAATGGTCCCTTCTGACAACAGGACCAAAGTAGGTGAGACAAAGCCTGGCCGTTCTCGCTTCCAAGGAGCATTCCAGCTGCATTTCTTCTGAGACAGATTTGTTAGTTCTTCTGGCAGTCCGTGGCACTTTCAGTATTCTTCACCAACACCACAACTAAGGTTTCAAAATGTAGAGGGTCATATAGGGGAAGGCTGGAAAAAAGGCCATTGTATTTAGAAGTCTTAAAGTCGCTTATGAAGGCTGAAATGAACCAGAGTGACAAGTGTCACCTCCACTTGTAGAGAGCTTGCCCCACTACAAGGACCTCTGCTTATCTCTAGAATCAGTCCATCCCCTCCCACAACTACCCTCCCAGGGCCAGAGCACATGTCTGTCGAATCTCAAGTGTGGTCCCTTGATCGCTCCTTCACTCTGCCTCACTCTCAAAAAGCTCCATAAGACTGGGAACTCAAGGGAACTGACTGTAGGCCTCATTTGGGCCTGAGCCCACACCTGTCCTTTTTCTTTTTCCAGTCCCTCCTGTTGTCCACTTCTATCAAGAGGGAAGGAGAGTCTCCAACAGCATCACCACATTCATCTGCCACTGATGACCTGCACCATTCAGACAGATACCAGGTGAGGAGGGAGGGTGTGGTGGGTGGGCATAAGAAGTAAGCTCACTGGGTTGAGCAATTAGTGCTGCTAACTCCTCCCCTTCCTCGGGAGCAAGAGGAGATGCTTGCCTCTGTGCCTAGAGCCCCTAACTGAATCCAGAGGACCCAGGTGTCAGGGATGGGCCTTAAAGAGATGGATTTGAGGTAATGATGTCAGGGTCTCCTGGGCTCTGGTGGGCTCTGAGTACCCCTGAAGCACCCCATCCATCAAAAGGTAGCCTGTGGGGTTTGGTTTCATGGGGGACCCAGAAACATAGCCCAGAATCACCTGTAGTCTCCGACTTCAAAACCCGGATCCCTGGAGCAAATTACCCTTCAGCCTTGCAAATGCTGGTATTAGACCAAGATAGACAGGCAGACAATGAGTAATCACATAATCCTAAAAGATCAGAGCAGGAGGGGGCCTAAAGGTAACATCCTAGCTATAGATGCACCAACTATGTGGTAGGAAGGAGACAGAACTTCCCCCAGAAGCTTTTGTCTGAGAAGAGACAGAGCTTTGCCCTTGGAGCCCTGCTCCAAGGAATGTCTAAATGGAGAAAGGCTTTCTCAGGGATCCCCAGTGTGAAAGGGGGAAAACAGCCTTGGCTCAGAAGCCCTGATCTGATGCAGAAAGACAAGCTAGAGAGGGTCATTGCTAATACCTATGAAGCCTCTGTTGGAATTAGAGAAAGGTATCCCCTCTGGGCAGGCAAGATAGAGAAGGGCACCCCTTGCTCCTAAGCTGACACAACCTGTCATCAGAGTGCAGAGTGTGGAGAGTGATGTGCTGAGTAGGCTGGGTATCAGCCTCACTGGCCCCACCTTGGTCCAGGACTCAGCCTGTGTAATCCAAAGCACTGGCCCTGTGGAGGGGTCCCTGCTCATATGAACACTGGCTTGAGAAAGGGAGCCCAGTCCAGTTCCTGGGAGACATTTCCCTGGCCCAGACCCCCCTGGTGTGAGGTGGAGAAATGACTCTAGAGCGTTCTGGACTGAGAGAGGAGCAAAGCTCTGTCCCAGAGATTTCTACCCTGAAAGCATAGACAGGGCCTTGCCTGCAGAGGCCCATCTTGCCTGCTTTATTCATAACATTCAACTTCACCATCTTCTGAACTCAGAAAAGAGTAACCAGCAAGCAAAAATTGCCTCAACTCCCTGACCTCCATTCCTACCCCCAGAATGTTAATATTTCATTTATTCTCTAAAGAATACGAGGAAAGCTATTGACCCTCGTGTCTTTAAAAAAAAAAAAAAAAAAAGTACACATATGACCATACACACACATTTTACATACAACTTAAGGAGGTTAAGAAACCTCTACAACCCATCCTGGCACCCTTTAGAGGTCTTTGGAGCCCAGGTTAAGACATAAGACCTTGGTCTAAGACCCTAAAGTACACCTTTTACAGGCAAATTAGATTAGGTTACTTTTTACAAGATGAAGTTCAAAGTCCTTAGCATGGCATGAAGGCCTTCTTGAATTTAGATTTAACCTATATTTCCAGCTTCTACTTCTAATTCCTCCCTCTATGAATCATATGGGCTCTGCTCACTAAATGCTAACCAGTCCTTGGATGTACCATTCCTTTCTGGCCTCTGTGTCTTCACACATGCTGTTTCTTCTAATGGAACTGTTTTACCCCACCACACCAAATTTCTATTTATCCTTCAATATACTACCCAAGGAGCTCTGGTGATGTAGTGTCTAAGGCATATGACTGCTAGCCAGAAGGTTGGTAGTTCAAACCCATCAGCCATTCCACAGAAGGAAGACTGAGCAATCTACTTCTGTAAAGAATTATCACCTCAGAAACCCAAAGGGGGTCACTATGAGTCGGAATCAACTCGATGGCAGTGAATTTTTTTTTTTTTTTTTTTTTGTACCCTACACAAATACCACCTCCTCCAGGAAGTCTTTCTGAATTAGTTATCTTGTCTTATGACCCCTGTGTGTTCCTATCATTGTCCTTATCGCCTTACATTGTAATTGCCTGTTTAGTTGGCCTGTTTCCAATTATCTACTGATGTATAACAAACTATTCCAAAATCTAGAGGCTTAACACAACAATGTATTATTTCTTATGATTCTGTGGGTTGACTAGGTGTTTCCTCATGCAAACAGCTCATTCAGCTGGAGGATCAGCTGGGCTGGAAAGTCCAAGGTGGCCTCACCATATGTCTGGGAGACTGGGGTGCTTTGGTTCTCTTCTTTGTTGCCTCTGATTCTCCAGTAGGTAAGATAGGCTTCTTTATGTGGCATTCTCAGGGCAATATCACATCTCGGGGGCAAAGGCCAAATTTGCAAGGCCACACAGATCCACTTCCATCTCTTACTATTGGGCAAAACAAGTCACAAAGCCAGCCTGGAATTGAAGTAAGAGGAAATAGACTTTAACTCCTGAAGTTATTGTTGTTAGGTGCTGTCGAGTTGACTCCAACTCATAGCAACCCCATGTACAACAGAATGAAACACTGCCCCAACTGTACCATCCTCACAATCCTTGTTATACTTGAGCCCATTATTGCAGCTGTTGTGTCAACTAAAACGTGCATGGTTCGAATCATCAGCCACTCTGCAGAAAAAAGATGTGGTGGTCTGCTTCCATAAGGATTTAGAGCCCTGGAAACCCTATAGGGCAGTTCTGCTCTGTCCTATAGTGTCACTGTGAGTCAGAATCAACTCAATGGCAGTGGGTTTTTGTTTTTTGTTGTTTTGTCTCCTATCAGGAATTTCACTGAAAACCTTATGAAACTCCTGATAGGAGACCAAAAAGACTTGGAGTCCTTGTCTTAACCTTCTTTCACTCCCTTTATTCCTCACATATTCACCTAGTACTCTGCATGCTCAGTCCAGTGTCCTTGCCCTGCATATTTGGAAGACACAAATAGATAAATATATAATTACAGCCCAATATTTTAATTGCTATGACTGAGGTAGGAGCTCTGGTAGCATAGTGCCTAAGGTACTTGACTGCTAACCAGAAGGCTGACAGTTCAAACCCACCAGCCACTCCTCAGAAGATGAGGCAATCTACTTCCGTAGTGATACTTCCTCGGAAACCCAAGGAGGGTCACTATGTGTTGGGTCTGACTCGATGGCACATAACAACAACAACAATATGACTGAGGTGTAAATAAGTTTCCAGGATAACATAGTGAAGGGAGAGGAAAATCAGAGAAAGCTTCACAGAGGAGGAAATGACTGAACAAGGTTTCAGAAGAGGAGTTGGAGTTCACTTGGTGGCAAGGAAGAAAGGGTATTCTAGATAAAGGGAAAGGCCATAGAGATGTAAAACAAAATGATGCATTTGGGGACCTGCTAGCCATTCAGTTTTGTTAGTTAGAATGTAAACTAAAGGAAAGTAGAAAATAACCCAAAGACTAGCCGGGTGGTACCTCATAGCATAGAGTTGTTGTTGTTGTTGTTGTTAAGTGCCGTTGAGTCGTTTCCGACTCATAGCGACCCCATGCACAGCAGAACGAAACACTGCCCTATCCCGCGCCAGCCCCACAATCCCTGCTATACTT